GATGGCGGGGGTTCCGTCCTGGGACAGCGAACGTACCATTGGCAATCTGCTCGCGCGCCTGGACGAGCATATCGAGGAGCTTGTCGGCGTCCTTGACAGCCGAGTTGAGAGTCGCTTTGCGGAAGCGGGAAAGCTCCGCCTGGAGCGTCATCATGGGGTTCTGTTCCGCCATGTTGGGGGCGGTCTTCGGGGTGGCTCGTATGTGGTGATAAGTGGGAATTGGTGGTGTAGATGGCGTAGTGTATGTTGCGGCGGGCTCGAGTGATGGAAGTTACGACGGGTAGGTCATGGTAGCGGGAGATTCGATCGAAGCTCCGGTCGTCAACGAAGTGGTGATGTCTATCGGATCTCCGAGAGAATGACGGCAGTCGTTGAGCCGGCAGGGTGAATGTTGCTGGTCCCGCTGAATGGTTGTCCAGGATGGAGTTCTACACGGCTGTCACCGTCAAACAGGTAGCGTGCTCGGTAGCTGAATCAGTGGCCAGAGTTGCCGGGGGAGGTCCACGGGTGGTTAAGTGTGCAGGCCCACAGGTGACACAGTGCTGTGACTGCCCGCCCAGAGTGCATTGAGTTGCCGCGGCGGCGAAATGGGCGGCCCGGATGGCAGGTAAGGTCAGGACGGGTCCAGCACAAAGTCGGCCAGGTGTGGGTGAGGAGGGGGCGCATAATCATGGGCAGGGGGCCCGGGGTACCTTAGCTGCTGCTGCTGCGGCGGTTGTATTTCGTAAGGTACTTATGTACTCAATACCCGTAGTATGTACATAACCTCGATCGAGGACGACTTTGAATCATCATAATTAGGGACTATGATAGTTACAACTATAACGATAGTAGAAACAACAATAGTAATAACGACAGAGGCGATTAAAGACGACGATAGCGGACGACGACAGCGGACGAAGACGACGACAGCGACGACAATATCAATGACAATAGCGAGTGCACAGGCAGGTGGTCTCGCACAATTACGGGCAGGGGCCCAGGGTAGCTGCTGGCGCGCTGCGGCTGGGAGGTAGATCTTTGGGCCATCGCGGAGAGACGGGGACCTTGGAACATTAGTGTTGACCGCTGCCACCCTTTTTTGCCCGTTATCCATTCGCTGAAGCAACCCGTGGTACAGCTCCTGCAGCGGCCCAACCAATCCACGACAGCAGCACCTACCTACATTGCGTCACATGCCGACCGCTTTCCGAACCAAAAGGAAACGATATAGAACGACCCAAAGAGACGCGCAAGTCACATGCAGGGCGGCATTCAATTCTCTGCGCCTTTTTCTGCATCTACGACAATCTGCGAACCCGACCGACCGAACGATCTGAGGCGACTATGATCTCGACTGCGACCGCGTGGAGGTAGAGCTGCTGGGCGCTTTAGTGTCGTCGATGCTGCGCTCCTATGGAGATGGCGTTCCGATTCCCCTTCCCGGTCAACGACCCGCGAATGCATCGTGAGGAGGATTTGACACTGGCGAGGGTTGCGTCTCAGCAACAGCAACAGCAACAGCAACGGAGCAAAGGCCCTTCTCCCCTGGACACACCCCTGCCTCTGGAGGCGCGAAAGGAGGCCTCTGTCGAGTCCGCGACACCATCTCCCTTACCGGCGGCCAAGAAGAAATGGGTCTTCGCCGATCCTGTAGCCTTCAGGTGAGGGTTTCTGAGGTTTTCGTCGAGCGCGGGAGGTCAAAACTCTGACAGTTCTGCAGGTACCTTGAGAGTGATCCAGCGGTGACCGTTATCGAGCGACGAGGCGTCTTGCAAGGCTACGAACTATATCTGGTGGAACAATGGGCATGCTCGCGCAAGTCGCCTACTCTAGTGATTGTTACCTACACGGGCGACCCAAAGCATTCCGTCGTGGTCGGGGTGCTGGCCGTCCCCGCGGACGAGAGCACTTGGTCGGATCGGCTGCGATTCTACTTCAGGGCCATCCACCAATACCATGCCCGACCCAAGGAAACACCGCTGGGCGATGTTATGGTCACCAACCTGAGCAGTTTTCCCTCGGCCCTGACAGTCATACCCGTGCCTGAGGGCGACATTCGCACCCATCGCCAGGCCTTCATCGTCAACGAGAACCTCAAGCGACTGGGATGTTCCGGTCGATCTGGCATGACTCTTGCGGACCCCATACCCCCGACTCAAGCCAAATTCTACCAGCTCTACAAAACTAGCGAGAAGGTCCCCTTTCCACAGTCAGTCATAGAACTCGTCAAACTGTGCCAGGTTTCCTTATTCATGTTTGGGAAGCTGGACAACGAATATATCGATGGATTACTATGCGACAAGACGGAGGAGTCCATCGGAAACTGGTGGACGGAGCTCGGCGCAGAATCGTACAACGTCGAGCCGACAGATGGCATCCTGGGACCAACAACGGTAGCGGCCCTGTTGGGCATGCTGATGGGTGCAAGAAATCGTCTACACTACTACGGTGCTCCAGTATCCAAAGACGTCTTCGACATTGAAAGCACTAAGCGGGGAATTGCTTATTTCCAAAAATCAAACAAGCTCGAGCGGACGAGACGACTGGATCGTCCGACTATTCTGAAGCTCCATAGCGCCACTGCGAAAGCAGCCGCTGGCGAGGGTTGGGGCGTGCAGAAAGCTGTCAAGTCTGCCGTCGGTGAAATTGGCGGCAAGAGGGGTGAGCTGGTCATCGGCATGGTTAGTGGCGGAAAAGATAAGGCTGGCATTGCTGATATCGAGACCGTCGACATTGACAAGTTCATTGCCTTGGCTTATGGTGAGCGTGCAAAATGGCTCTGGTATGGCCGACCCCGAAAGACGGTTCCTGAACTCCAGGAAAAATCATCGGACATTGGTGCTCCGCTATTTGGGAAAGACGAACTAGCTGCGCAAGTAGGCAAGCGAACACAATCAATGCCTCTCGAAGAAGAAATTCAGAAGCACAGAGAGGAATCTTCAGGGGTCTACTCAGCTCCCGCGCCTGCCTCGGCCGTTAGTGTGGTCGACGCACCCGGAGATAAAGACGCCCTTAGGAAAACGGTCTTCAAGTCGGTTGCTGGCAGAGTCAGCGATGCCAAGTCTGGGCTTGGGCGCATTAAAGACGTCGTCGGAACGGGTTTGAGAGGTCATGCCAGTCGTCCTAGCAGAGACGACTTTGGTGAGAATGGCTACAGCAACAGCGCCCCCATCTCAGCACTGGCGCATACATCTGCAGCAGCCTTGTCGTCTCCCGTCGTTGTTGGTAGAGCCTTCACTTGGAAGAACAAGCCAGAAGAGTACCTGGCACAGTTCAAGAAGGAGGCAGACGCTGCGCAGGCAATTCCGGAATCATCACAGGAACTAGTTAGGTCCCCGGAGCTACTCAAGTCCCCAGAAGTGAAGCAGATTCGCGAAGCTTCTGAGCCCAGCTCGACACGTGTAGAAGGTGCCTACGCAACACCTCCAAACGGGCCCGTGAAAGAGGAGCCTGAAAAGATTCAAGCATCTGTAGCTGGTTCAGTGGTTGATGAAGCGGACCTTCATGGGCCTTTCGAGGCGGAGCGAGGTGGTAACAATGCTGTGGGTTTTCTGCAGCGGCGTCATTCTATCGCGGTCTCTAGGCTCTCCTACAAACATCCCCTTAACGAAGCTCGGTGGCCGCGAAGGCTATCCTTTGGTGAAGCAGAGGAAGCCGTCCTTCGATGGGAGGAGATCACCGAGGTCTATGACGACAAGCACTTTGCCACAGCCGATGCTCTACAACAGCAAGCCAGTCTAGCCGAGTTCGCCCGTAGCCTTTACGATTCTATCGCAATTATCAAACGAGACGTCAACCCCTGGGTAGAGTCTAAGGTCAAGGCCGTTGAAGGGATGGACGAGCACTACGCTCACGAACAGGAAGACCTTCAGACTCTCTACTACCAGCTCAGCGAGGCTTACCAACGGGTTAAGCAAAGCTCTTCGGAGCTCATCGCCGAAGAGCGAGCGCACATCACTGAAGCCATTAAGGAGGTGGAGGTATTGGTTGCGCGACTAGAGTACGAGGTTAACGGTCTCGTAAGCAAGGTCGACGACGTCGAAGACGGAGTCAGGTTGTTCGAGAGACAGGTCGAGGACGTTGAGAAGCGCGCCGAGGAGTTAAAGAAAAGCCTCGAAACGGAAAGCTGGGCACACTGGTTTGTCAGGACGTTGACCGGTATCGGGACTGGTCCCAACATCACAAGGGGATCGTAGACAGAGTGGTGGGCTGCATAGCGTGGTTCGTTTGGCTTTGGCATCGGGAATACCTCCTCGCGGGTTTGCATATATAAGTTATCACAATATTTAAAGGTTGTGTTCGCGTGTGTAGTTAGGCGCGACGGTATCGTATAAGTATCTATCTATCTGCCAGAAAAGCAGACTGTCCTTATATCAGCTAGTTCAATAATACCTTATGGAGGCAAGGTTGGACCGCTAAGTATCGTTGTTGTCTCTATTGTCATCTGTACTGTCGTCGTTGTCTCTACTGTCGTCGTTGTCATCCACTGGCGTCCTCGTCCACTGCCATCCTCGTCTGCTATCGTCCTCATCCGCTGTCGTCCTTATCCGCTGTCGTCCTTATCCGCTGTCGTCCTTATCTACCATCGTCATCTCTACTGTCGTTGTTGCTGTCGTCTGCTGCTGTTGTTAGTATCGTTTATTATTGTCGTTCTCATCGTCCTCTACTGCCGTCGTCGTGTCTACTGTTCTAAAATTGTTGTTCGGTTTCTCAATTTCAACATTTTGAATCTTTGTGTATATGAATGTAATAAGCACGTAAGTTCAGAAAAGGTTGGCTTCCTCTTCAATAACGTTCTTAGGGAGGATCTTGTAGTCTCGCCTAGCTCTATTATCAGGTTACTAAGTCGTAGACTTGGTGCATCTCCTATCGATGAAGAAGTCAAATCCTTAATAACGTGTTTTCTTGTGGCAGAGTGGTTCACCAATTATGTTTCGATAAGCTAACTTGGATATCTTGTCTAGCACAGGCTCAATAGCGAGCCTCTGAGAAGCGGTTCAGACTATTAGCGGAATCCATCAGTTCCTTGCCACATGTCCCCCGTCCAATTCAGCCGCAGGGTATCCCGAGTCCATCTCCCTGGGACCCCCAGCCCACCGATTTGTTTCCATCTCCGATGGAGGAGGCTCTGGGCTAGCCTGCCATTGCTGCTGGGTGTACCCGGGAGGTGTCTGTTTGGACCAGTCTTGCTGCATTCCATGGCCGGCCGCAGCGCCCTCCTGGCCCTCTGGAGCGGCCGCAGCAGCATGCTTCTTCTTCCATCTCCTTCTCAGCATGAAGAAAACCAGCACTCCAAGCGCTATTCCCACAAGCGGGCCGACGACGACGCCGGCTATCCATGCCTTGCTACTTGAGCCTGAACCTGAACCCGAATCAGAGCCCGCGGAGGTGTTCGTTGGAGTGCTCGCGCTGGCGGAAATGGAAATTGCTTGGCCTATTTCGTCTAGGAGTTAACACGGTGCTAGTTGCTGGCAAGAGTTGGGTTTTCACGAACCGGTAGAAGACGAAGAGGTTGCTGTTGCTGCTATCGACAGAAACAGCTCCGTCTCCGTGTTGGCACCAGCACACCATATGTCTCTGTTGAACGCCCCATCTGCGGGTGGCGTTGCGTAAACCGACATCGTCCAGCAGGTCGCCCCGGCATTGCAGTCCTGCGTGCTCCCTCCATCCCAAGTAATGACATTACTACGGCAGTCGGTAGGAAGGGGACACTTCGTATCCGTACAACAGCCCGCGTAGCCCGCGGACGTTGTTCTGAACTGGCCGTTTGCGCACCACTTTGGACTCGCTGTTCATCGCGGAAGTGCAGCGTCAGTCCTGTCCAGGAAGCTCGTGATAGTCTCGAAGTGGCGACTTACTGGTAACGCCTTGGATGTACCAACCCCTAAAGTTGGAGTCGCCACTCGCGTCTGGCCTGATCCAGGTTGATTCAGCAATCGCCGTAGACGCGAGAGCCGCCGCCGCTGCCAGGACGCAGGCTTTGACAAAAGCCAGGGAATGCATGGTCACTGTTGTACGCCTCTGGGCGGGATTGTGTGAGACAGGAACACACGCCTCTCGAGCGGCAAAACCGAAAGAGACGGAGGGGACTACGAAGAAACGAAGGAACACAGGACGAAAGGGCGTCATCAATTTTAATTCTGCTGCCTCCAGAGTCCTGGTCTCAGTTACCGTCCATCGACCAGGGTGGCTTAAGGCAGACGACTGCTACCTAATCATACCTCCTCTCTTGAAGGATCACAGGGTCCAAAAACTAAAATTCGGCGCGACCAGGACCAGGAGCTTGTCTGCGATGCAAAAGCGAGGGTCCCGCACCTACCGGAGACGAAGACGGGCCAATCTATTCCTGTTTCGAGTGTACGAACGGGGTAGAACGGCTCATTCTGGCGGAGCAGGAAGAGGCTTGGTTGTATGCATGTCAGATTCGCTCACACCCTGAGTGGCAGATTCGGTTTTAAGGCTGGCGAATGGAGCAGGGGTTTGCAGCTCTCCACAGGCTCTAGTGGTTACATCGACGACTTGTGTAATTTCAGAGTCGCTGAGCATAGGCATCTCGTGGTCAGTTGGTTTTCTGAAGAAATATTTGCAGATGGGTAGTGCGGGTTGTGGATAAAGTAGTGATAATGAGGAATTAGACGACGGAAAGGACGTTAAACACAGCAAATACAGCCTGTGGAAAGGCATACTCGCGAACCGCATTGGTAGATTGAGAACTACGTCATATAGTTCAGGTCTCTGTCTCTGTTGTGTTGTGTCTGTCCACGAATGTCGTCTCAAGCGAGTCGGTACGTGAACTGGGGGTGTTGGGGTTTTTGATTTTGGTTGTCGATATCTTGAGTCCTGCTTCGACTTTCTGTCCTCAAGGTAGGCTTCTGAGCCTAGCCGAAAAGTCTAGGAACCCTCTTGGCCGTATGCCTCAATGAAGAACAGCCAACGGTGCAGTGGTGAAGTCACGACCTGTATATACGGCTTCTATGTGGCGTCTTCAACCTAGACGGCTATCTGTCTATAAGACTTTTCTTGTCCGCGTGGACTCGAGAATTGTCGCAACCAACATGGTACGCTCCGACGTAGTAACCAGAAAATGGCACACTGCTTGATCGGCTTCTTACAGAGGATCTTGAAACCCGAAGGTTCGATCAGTCTCGAAGAATGGATCGGTCTCCAAGAGAACGATGATGGTGAAATCGACGATGCACACAACGACTGGACCACTACCGACGATGTAAAAAGTGAAGAAGGAAGTAGCGACCGGACCACTACTGACGATGAAGAAATTAACGAAGATTGTGACGAAGAATCCGTAAGTTCGAAAAGTTTTACCCTGTTAAGCCCAAATATTGATGTCCGCCAGGACGATGGATCGGTAAACAGTGACGAAAGCGACGCTGTTCAAGTGGGCTATGCGGACAGGCCTCGTGACACCGACGACAGGGCTATGATGACGAGCACTCCAGACACAAATGGTCGTACCAAGTCCAGAAACAATTTGAATGCTTTGGGATGGCCAAAGAACGCAAGGATTGACCCGTGGATGGCCGCGGTCTGGCAGAACGCCGCGAAGAGCCCTCTATGCGGACTGCCCGACCACATACTCCTCAACATAATGCAACGACTCGACTTGACGGCAATATGTCAGCTCCGGCGGGCATCTCGTGAGTTCTTGCGCATATTCTCGTCTCGCGAATTCGAAAAGTGGCGGTACAAAGGCAGCGACTACAAATTCCTATGGGCATCGCCAGTGCAAGCGCCAGGTTCGGTGGACGCGTTGAAGTTTGGAGCACCGAGTGCGTTCTGCGCGCCCTGCTATAAGAATCGCAACCTATATGATTGGAAGTTTTCCAAAGCAAGATGTCAATTGTATTGCTCTGGATGCAAGCAAAAGCACACGGCCAGCTTGTTTTCGGCGGCCGAGCGCAACAAGGCGGCACTCGAACGAATATGCATTGGTCGTGAGGGATATATCCGTTTGTGTGAGCACAAGACATTCAACTGGGATGACTTCGTTGGGGTATCTTCAGAGGCATCAAAGTCTCCCCGAGATGGCGCCGATTTGAGAAGTTTGATGTTCTGCAGACACGCCTCTCACCAGCCTGGCCTACCACCGGTTGAGTACAAGGCCGACTTATTCGACCAGTGGGTGTATTTGGAGAAGACGGTGCATATGTCGTTTCCACGTACCCCCGGAGCCTTTCGTTTGAACGCTGATGAGCTGCGACAAAGACTGGCAGAAGAACAAGCGCGCGACCCATGGCTGTGGTATCCCGAGAAAGGGCCACGGCACCTGGACCCCATGGGTTGCTTCGACCCTAATGTTTGTCTCTGCCTACATTACGAAGGCAGAGGAATATTCGAACCCCAGCTTCACCCCAAAGCACCGAAAGCCCCGAATTGGCTGGCAGACTGCCCTCGTAGCCCTGGTAAGTTGATATTTCTCCATCGGGCCAGGTCTTGCCGATGTCCAATGCTTATTTAGATATAGGTAACCATGCAATTTACAAGGGGCCAGATAACGATGTGTGGTGTTTGGAGTCCGAGTTTCGCCGCTGTGGCAAGCATAAAAAGTGTTACAAATTCGACCTTACTCGCTCATTTTCCGCGATGGATGATCGAGGCCGACCGTTGACGCCTTCGAGCCCTGGGTGGTACCTTGCTCTGGACCCGGCGTCTCACAACCTCACGGAGGACAGTGAGTTTAAGGAGGTCACATGGTGTGAAGACCAGGCTTGTAAGAACTACTACAAGCTCCTAGAGCACGCCAGCCTTGAGACTGTGTAGTCCGAACGGGCTGTGGGCTTAGAGATTGAAGTACAATAAAGGAGCAGTGCGGTGTACCGCAGGATGGATCTGACTACTACAAATGGAATATGCCATGATTGTCATCATTATTGCTCACTTTTTGGTAAACATAATAAACATGACTGAAAGAGCCAATATAGACTTGATCTTGCGTCTGTTCGCCTCTATCCCTAATCGTCCTTTTTGTCTATCCACGGATATCTTATGCTCATCAAACCGTTGCACCAAAGTCCCAAACCTCCAATCCAACACCGCCAACCACGACCTTACCACCCTCAATAACCTCCAAATCACCAGCGTCAGCAACACCACTGTACTGGTCTGCCAACAAAGTGACCTCTTCAACGCCCTGTCGCCAGCCGACCTGCCACATCTTGACTCTCTGGTCATTGCTCACAGTCGCGTACACAACCTCCCCACGCTCCGTGACTCTCAGCACCGTGAGCCCGTTGATGGCAGCTGCGTGCCCCTTTCTCACACCCGCCCTGCTAACTGGCTTGAACCCGTCCTTCGGGTCAAGGGTCGTAATGCCAAGGGCGTTGTCATCGCCTCCGGTCAAGAGTACAACCCTTTCCGTAGTGCTGTGGATATCAAGAGCTTTGATACTGCTCTGGTGTATCCTAGCAGTATGTTTCAGTATAAACTCTGCACTCTCGCTCTTCCAGACACCAACACAGCCATCCGTAGCGGCAGTGACAACCTCCCACGTGCCGTCCTGGATCTTCAAATGCCGCACCTGAGTGAGACACGCGCCCGTGTACCGGCCTGTCGCAAGGAGCTCGAATCCCTTGCCCGCTGAGTAGCGATACGTCTTGACGACCGAGTTGGAGAATGCCATGGTGATTCCCACCACCCCCTCCACCCGCGCAACATCAAAGCTGGTGATCCGCAAGTCTCCGTCGGCGCTTCTGTCTTCGAAGACGGCCTCGCGCATGAGTCCCAGCCCAGCGGCGCCAAGATCCGTGGCCCGCCAGGCCATGAACTCCTCGTTACCGGAACAGCTGAAGAGGAGCTCCTCACCAAGCCACTTGAGAGATTGGAGACCGGCCGTGTGCACCTTGACCACCTTTACACAACGCATCTTCCTCTGAAGCGGCTTCTCCGAGTCCTTGTACTCCCAGATGCGGATCGCGGTATCCTCGGCGCCAGTAGCGACATACCGCCCAGAGAACGCGATAGCCCTGACCTCTCTGCCGTGCGTGCCCCTCTTCAACGTCCTGTGCCAGGCCACCGCCTTCTGCGTCTCGGGCTGCTCATACACGCCGAGCGTAGCAGCCTTGTTGAATACGAACCTGACCCTGTCCTGCCTATCATACGCAAAAGCGCGATGGGCGCCTCCGCAGTCGAGCCTCAGGACCTCCTCGTGGCGCGTCTCGTTCCACACTACAAAGTTCTTGCTGCGGAAACCACAGAGAATCAGGTCCGTCCCGGACATCCAGGAGTCTTCAAGATTCGGGACTGCCGTGGGCGCCGTCTCGTGGCGGAGGATGAGCGACGACGGGCCGATTTCGTAGATGCGGTAGTTCCCGTCTCTGCTCGTCGTGATGATGTGCTTCTCGGGCGAGGTCGCCAGAGGCTTGATGGAGGTGATGCTGTCCGCCGTCCGGCGATCCGGGGCGGGGAACGGCGTGAGCTGGGGCCCCGAACGACGGAACACGTCCATGTGTCCGTGCCGCGAGCCGAGCACGAGGAGGTCGCTGACGAGACAGGCTGCTGTGAAGACGAAGCGGTTGTCCAGGTCGACGGGGATCATGGATGTGATGGCTGAGGTCTCCAGGTCGAGCGTGAGGATCTGCATCGCTTCCTCGCCGCCGAGTATCGTGACCAGGAACTCGAGCTTGCCGCTCTCGGAAGAACCCAGACAGAAGATGTCGGCAACCTTCCCAGGCACCGTCCCGATCTCGCGAAGCTCTCCCCCCCTGAACAAGAAAATCTTCTTGTTCGCAGTACCCAACAACGCCAGTCCCTCCATCGGGCTTTTGAGACTGGTGCAAGCCCTCAAAGCGCTCAAAGTTGTCTGGTCGGTCCGAATCTCCTCCCAGGTCAGCTCCGTCCCAAACGAGCCGACCAGCAACCTCCCAGTCGTGCTGGTCGCAAGCAGCGTGTCCTTCCCGATGAAGGCAAACCGGTGAAACGCCTCCCTCGTCTCCGCCGGAATCGCAAACTCCTGGCCCCTGGACGGCAACTTCGCAACCACATCCTTCAGAACCAGCGTCCGCAGCTCATGAGGCAGCTCGCCGACCCTGGCCGTGGACCGGTCAGTCAGCAAGTTGATTTTGCTGTCCTGCCCGCCCGTCGCAACGACCACCTCCCCACCACTCCTCTCCGCCAACGCGGTCGCCCAGATGTGCTTCCCGTCATGCTTCGCGTACGTCTCCAGATGCGTCAGGCTCGCGGCTACGTCACCGCTGCCGCTGCTTTCGCCGCTCAGGCCCTGCCGCCACTGCACCTCGTCAACGTCCAACCTCCACCTCTGCAGCGTCGAGTCCTCGCCGAAGGAGTACACCGTGCCCCCTGCGGGCCCGAACGTGCGCGGGAACCTGACGTGCCAGATGCGCGAGATATGTCCCATCACCATCGCGAGCGGCCTGCTCGACGCAACGCGCGTGGCCGACAGATCCGCGGGTGCCGCGCCTCCGTCGTTGCCGTCGTCGCCGCCGCCAAACCCGGTCTCCCGCGCCTCGCCAAAGGAGTCGTACTGCAGCCGCGGCGCCCCCTCGCGCTCCGAAATGTCCCAGATGCGAATGGTCCTGTCATCGCTGCAGCTCGCCAGCAGGCGTGCCGTTTTGCCGCCCTCGCCCATCGCGATCTCGGGCGAGATGTCCACCCCAAAGATGGACCCCTCGTGGCCCGTGAAGACGAAGAGAACCTCGCACCACGGCTGCTGCTTGCCGTCGTCAAAGTGGCACTTCCAGAGCAGGATCTCGCCAAAGACGGTGCCGCCGGCGATGAGCACGCAGGAGCCAGATACCCACGTCGAGTTGGCCGAGTACAGGATCGGCCGGGACGGGGAGACGATCCTCCCAAAGACGACGTGCCGCCCATCGTCCGCGATGGAGAATTCGAGAGTCTCGTTGTGCGCCGTCACGAGCACGCCGCGGGAGGGGTCCTCGGGACAGATGGCGCCGTCGTAGATCCAGTCCGGCGCCTTGGCTTCCACGACCTTGGGCGGGCTGTGGTCGTCAGCCTTGCCTGACAGGCACGCCTTGATCACGCCGACGGGCAGGACCGCCACGGCCTGGTTGCCCCAGAGCAGCACGCTGCCGCCTCCGACGCTGATGCCGTGGATGGGCTGGGCGCGGAAGATCCTCAGCTGGCATTGCAGGATGCCTTCCCCGTCGTAGACCTTGAGGTCCGTGTCCTCTCCGGCCAGGAGATACTGCTGCTGCTCGCCATCATCACTACTCGATGTGGCATCCAAGTCTAGGAAGCAGAGGCCGGTGACGGGGGTAAGCTGATGGTCCCGCCGTAGTGAGGGCCGGGCTACCTCTGGTTCCTGCTGCTTGAGGCGGTTAGCCTACTTGGGTCTTATTTCCAAACCACCTCTCTTCTCTTGCGCGGCTATTTTTGAAAAGTTGAGAAGGCAGACGGATATCAAAGAATGATGACTAACTGCATAATGATTCATTGGGAAGTCCTTTGGTTTCGGTCTTCCCTGGGTCTTAAAATCTCACCAGACCCTGGAGGGGTTGATGAAGTCCTTTCTCGCAGGAACGAGCGTTTCGTTTCCCCGTCGCAGCTACTGCAGAGATGAGAAAAAAAATAGCGAATGAGTTTGTTGTTGCTGCCTACTGTCCCAGGATCATGATGCTAGCTTGTGCGGCTGAGCTGTCGCATAGGCGGTAGGAAATCCTTCAACTCCTCAGGTCCGGTCAGCAAGGTTGGTGGATCGAGTCATCAACCACCCCTCTCACGCTCTGTGTGGAGATTTTTTTTTGGTTCGTGATTTGTGTGGGAGAAATTTTGAAGCATCCATCGACAGTGTGAAATGCCCCAGGAATGCACGTTGCTGTCACGATTCACTGACGGACGACCTCTGCCACATGAAACGATGAAACCTGCGAATAAATGGCTCACAAGTGGTTTTGAAAAACAATTTGTGAAAAATCTAATGTGTTTGTTTTTGTGCTGTATAAGCATGATAAATTCTATAGACAATAAGCCTGGTTGGGTATCATCCATCCCCAGGAATCCTCGCCCTCCCCCGTTGTTCCCGTCAAGCTAGATCATTCGTAAACCACTTCCTCCGCGCATGTCGTTCGTGCTCGTGATAATAAAGTCCGTTACCCAACGCCAACGATGCAAAATCAAATGAGTGCCAAATCGCACAGCTTCTTCGTACAGACATTACCGCCCATTAGACCAAAAGATCGCTTAAGAACGGTGGGAGTAAGGCTCGTAGGCCATGTCACCACGGGCACCGCTGGCGTAGCGGGGAGCACCGTACTGGGTGGCCTGCTGCTGCTTGTAGTAGCCGTTCTCCTCGTGGATGGGCTGGTAGGCGTTGGTGTTGCCAGTGGGCAGGAGCTTCTCGCCGTCGCTCTGGCGCTTGCGCTCCTTGCGGGTGTGGTTGGGAGCGCAGCAGCAGATGGTGAACATCCAGAAGAAGCCGGCACCGAGAGCGAGGGCGGCGGAGATCCAGATGAGAGCGAGGAAGCTGTTGTTGAAGGAGGAGGAGACACCGTACCACTTAGCGGAAGCCTCGACAGCACCGACAACAACGACGGCGGTGGCGGTAGAGAGAGCAGCAGAGGCGCAGACAGCGACGGAAGCGAGAGAGGCGATCAGGAAGGTGATGCAGGACATGGCGCGGGTGCAGTTGGCGAAGATGCCGAAGACGATCTCGAGCCCGAGGGCAATGAAGGAGATGATGTAGGCGACCTGGGTCCACTTGCTGACGGTCTTGAAGGCGGAGAGAGCGCTGGTGATCTCATCGGGAAGCTCGACCTTCTTGCCGGTGACGGAGCCAATGGTGGTCAGAGTGGTCGTGTTCAGGTACTCCTCGGCCCAGTTGAACTTGGCCTTGGTGCAGGTCTTGTCGCCGTTGGTGTCGGTGGTGCAGTAGCCCCAGAGAGCGATGTCGTAGAGGTTGTCGAGGCCGAGGTCAGCGGCGGTGACGTTGCTGGTCTGGGTGCCAGAACTGTCGGTCTGGGCCTTGGAGAGGCCGGGGGCGGAGCCGCCGCTGAGCAGAGCGCGAGCGTTCACATCGCGGCTTACTACGCTTGATAGTGAAACGGGGTTGATCTCGAGATCGGTGAGGTTGACGCGGAACAAGTAAAGGTCCTTGTTGGAAACACCACCCAGAGCGGCCACCATCAAGAAGATGAGAGAGCCGACGGTGAGGATAAATGGCAGAGCCACACAGATAACACGACCGACACCCATTTTCTGTTGTTGTGTGTTGTTTATCGGAAAGTTGGTAGTAGCAGTCGTCGAGGTTGTAAATGGATCTCGGGTAGTGAGTGGGTCGAGTTGCTTGTTGGTCAACGAATGTACCGGAAAGCGAAGGTTGGTTGATTTAAAGTTTGGGAGATGGAGAAGAGGTGAAAGGGAAGAAGAGGAGATCCCTTGAGTGTTTGTTGGGAGGAGGTGGGAGAGATATAAACGGATGTGAGTGTGATGGGAGCAAGAAGTAAGAGGCTGACACAAGACGGACGAGCGTTGATGTTTATAAAACTGGTCGTTTGTAGTAGGTTGGGGGTGCGGTTACGTACATGCGTGTGGTATCCATAGACCGGGACGTCGATGTCAGAGGGCGAAGTGCAAGCAGGCAGGCTGGGGACATGGACGGGACTGGGGACAGGGACAAGGACGCGGACGTGGCGCAGTACAGCGACGAGTTTTTGGTGGAGATGGGACGGAGCAGCAGCAGAGAGTGAGAGTGATGCGCAGCAGGAACAGCACCAGCACCAGCACCAGCACCAGGCGGTCGGTCGGCACTGGCAGCCAAGCCATTGCGGACGCGGTCGCGGTCAGTGGGGCCCCGCTACTGAGTGTGTGCCAGTGCTCCTCCAGCTGTCTCTCTACTGCATAGTACATAGTATTCGTACCTTACCTTACCGCAGCACCTATGATCTCAGCCTGGTGCGTGCCCTGCCTGCGGAACAATGCCCGCAATCATCACCTCAGGTCACCTCAGTGAGGGAAAGGAAAGTCAACAGACCTGCCCTACGGTGTGCCCACTTGCTCCCGTCACTGTCCCCTGGCTGGCTGCTGACGGGCTGCAACTCGCCTCCACACAGCTTAGCGGCGCGACTCAGCCCCCGGTCCTTCTAGGAACACCCATGACCGTTGGGGGAATCCCTCGCCCGAGCAACGGCGTCGAGCGGCCAATCCACACCTCTACACTGCGCAGACGCTGCTGCTGCTGCTGCTGCTCGTCGTGGCTGCGCGCCTTACGAATACCTTACCTGCCGACTGCGGTACGGCGATAGAGTAGAGCTATCCTCCACCTCCCACATGCCGTGCGGGAACACTGTATCACTCGAATCATCATCCATGCTCGTACATGTCCGCAGGGCTTTTTACGTTGTGTCTTGGCTCTTTGCTGGAGGGGCTTTGGAGATGACCGATGCATAGCGACAAAAACACCAACACCAAAAGAGAATCATGGCCGAACACTTGATCCTCACGAATGCCTACATGCGGAATTGAGGATGAGGAGGAGGATCGGGGGTGGTTATCGGAACCGAATTACGGATAGCGTCTGCGAGCGGCGGACAGGGGTCATGGAATCCGTAGGGCAGAAACCGGTGACGCCAGAATTAAGAAAAGAGATAGAAAAAAAGTACCTTTTGGCTGTGCTGCCTGCGCACGGCTACCTCTTTCTGACACTGGCGTCAAACCTAGCAGAGGCTGATGTGCTGCATTTACGAGCAGGTACCAGCTGCCCTGTGGCATTGCTTCCGTGATTCCATCGACGTCTTTCCAGAAGTCGGTGTTCTTCATGTAAAGAGGCATCTGCGCTCCTTGTCGTCACCTTGCTGGGTTTGCAGCCTATCAGTTCTGTGGGATCGTGGAGGGAAGACAGCCCCTCCAAATTCCAATCTCACATCACATCTGCTCACACCTGCACAAGAGCCTTGTCGATGCTGCCGCGGGTTGATGAGAAACTGCCGGGCCAAGACCAACACCAAGACCGACCCAACACTGGCTGAGAGGCTGCGAGTGCTAGCGACCGACCCTGCCCATCTCCCCCATCCCAAGACCGGTTCGAAGGCGGCGAAGTCAAGCAAATTGACATTTCGTGTGCCTGTAAAACCTCAGGGCTAGACCGCAAGAGGTCATGGTACGCGTCCTGTCTCTCACGTTTCTCATTCGTCCTTGACATGTTTGGCCGGTCGGACTCGTGTGTCGTGAGCTCGTGGTTCAGATGAGAACTGGGAAGAGAGTGAATCGTGTTGCCACACTGTGCGCAGTATCGGTACATGAGCTTGCCTCCAGTCTACTGGCATACGATGGCAGTAACATCTAGGCACAGCAAAGTCCTGTTTCCCATCTTCTCAGGCCAGGATTCACCGTCCATCACCAGCCACTGGAAGCCGATCGGTGGTCTGTTGCTCAGTCACCATAAACACCATTGGCACCCTAGGAGACCATCGACATCAAGATTTGCCTTGATCGACAACAGTTCGTTGTCTGACACGTCCAGAGCTGCACGTCGGGCTCCATACGTCCACGCAATTAAAGTGGCCCGGGGTGGTGGTCGTCATCTTGCGGAGGCTCAGCTGTTTGTTTTTTTCTTCTCTCTCTGTGTCGCTGTCCCTTTGCGGCAGCTCACTACTGCATTCACTACTGCAGGTTGGTTGCACCCTCAAAAACCACTTGGCACCGGGTTTTCAATCGCCCACGTTCCGCCTGTCACTGTGAATGGTCAGCCCTCAGCTTCAAGTCAGGTGTGACGACCGGAGATAGGCTCTCACTGCTGACCTGAGCCTGTGAGAGCACGACAAGAGCTGCTGCTGGTGCTGGTGCTGCTGCTCAGCCCCACGGGACGACGTTTGGTAGCAACCGGTTATCGGGTGGTGAGGTGGTAATGCGTGTGGCTGGTCCGTCGGGCTCGCCAGATCGCCCACTCAGGGCAGGCACCCACCCAACACCCACCCACCCCCCGAGGCGGAACCTAACCCAACTCTCTAATTTTAGAAACGACCCGTGGACGCCTTTTTTTTCCTTTGCCCACCCGCAGGGCCACCACCACCAACGCCATTATGATTAAGCTATCCTTGAAAGCCCAGAACACCACTTTCCGCAGCGGTCCCGAACCGCAATCGCAAGGCTCAACTCCAAAGATGGGGCCAACCCGAGGGGCCTTCAATTGATTAAGGTTGCCGACATGCCCAAACTGGCCATCTTGGAATCCTCGCCATTGGCTGGGAAGCCCACAGACGACCGACGACGCCATCACCGCCACAACAGACGAGCTCAAAGTCCACGTCAGGCCCCGGACCCGGATCCGGACCCGTGAGCTAATTCACCATCTGCCGTCCAGCCTCGGAGGCAGGTCACCCTGACGGGTAACGCGACCCAGCAGCTTATCGGTCTTCGGAGAGTGGCATCTATTGTTCTCTCTTCCCGTTCGCGCGCGCAGGGTTTCAACCTCGAGAGGGGGGCGATGACTGTCGACGCAGACGAGCCGATTTTCAGGGTCCTGTCATGTCGGCAGGCTCTTCCCGCAGTGGCTTGACATGACAGCTTCCCCCACGAGTTACGCAACTTGCATCTCGGCCGCGAACGCCATCGTGGCTCGGTGACCCAAGCTTGCTGTCACAATCGGCATCGTGGAGCTGACTGGCCAAACTCACTTTTGGCTCGTGGATGTGTGGAGAGATGGACCAGGCTCTCGTAGCTTCGAGATGCCCTCTGGTTCGTCGCAACGGAGACTGCCCAGACGTCTTCGAGAAAACACGAAGAAAAAGTTTCCGTCAGCGGGCCCTGTGAGCCTTTTCGAATATCTTGGCGAGGCTATTTCGGCAGCCGCGCTATTTGCGTTCTATAGCCCACGAACCCCTCGTCTTTATTCATCTCATGGGTGTTTTGCTTCCTTCCACTTTTGGCAGTTCTCAGGCGACTGAGTGAGGCGTTAAGCTTGGCTGCAACTCTGGTTTTTACCCAGCGAAAGCAACAGCCCACCTGCCACGGAGATGAATGTTTCCTGGGGGCCAAAAGCATCAAACAATTCGCTGGGCCCCGTCCCACTCACCTCACGCCGCGACTGCAAGAGCCTCGACTGAGAAAAGTCAACCTGGGTTGAGACTCAAAATCCGTTTCAGCGGACACGGCGAAGTGAGATTCGAAGGAGACCCCTCGTCGACAGACAGGCAAGGGAGGCCTGTAATAGGCCGCCCCGAATATAGCGCTGCCATTCTGTGCCGGCCCTCATCCCAATGCTCAAGCACTTAGAAGAGACAGGCTGAGCCGAGTCGCCGGCGGGGCTTAGATCAATGCCCCCGATGCGGCGAAGCCGGGTGGACGCGCGGTAGACGGCAACCGCATTACAAAATGTGTGCCCATCCGCAAAGTCTCATCGTTGCTCTCGCGCGCCGACTAGTGGCGTGGTCCTCGGAACACCGACTTCTGAGCGTGATGGGGCCGAACCCGAAAGGCGGCGTGTGTCGGTCTTAGCCAGGAGGGGATCCCCCTTGAGACCGAGCAAGAGGGCGCCGGACTGCATCTCAATACGCACTTGTGGCCCCCGACAGCTGCAGTTGCAATCCATCGTCGCTGATACATGGTGCGCCGCCGGCCACTCCCGTTGACTGATTTGAGCAACGTGGGCATCATAGGAAGTATAAACCCCCACCTTTTGGAGATTGAGGCCCTCGATGGTTGCACGGCAGCCAGTTACAGCACGTGCTCGTGTGGACGCGGGGACAACGCACTGCACACGAGGAATGTGAGAACGTTGGGAATGCGCACGCCGCAAGAGCGGTCGGTGTCTGGGTCTGCATGCCCAACGTGGAAAGGCGAACAGGAAGTTTGTCACAGGCGCCACGACTGTTGAAAACAGGCGGCGTTGCGGGGTTGTCGCGACCGGTCTTATCGTCGTCTGGCGTCGTCTCTGGTTAAACGGGGGTTGGCGAGGATCTCCTTCAGAGACGTCGGACGAGAGTTGACGCGTCTATGTGGAACTGGAGACTGGAGACCTCGACATCCGATGCCGATTCCGAATATTCGTGCCACTGAGATTCATCCCGCTCACACTTGCTCACCAGATTCACATAGCAACTCAGCGCTGTGTGGCGGCCATGTTCGTAGCCGTGGCGTGTGGGGCAGTCAGTGCACCTCGTACCGCTGCATCGGACCCAGCTGGAGATGGAGACGAGAGATCGAAAACACCGAGTGAGAGAGGCAAGTAGCGATTTGAGTACGGACTTCAGTGGTAA